CGCCTCTCGAATGCAATTACCATAGTCAATACACCTAACCTTTGCCTGCAAAAAGACAAAAAAGTCAATGAATAGTTACATAATATAATTTTTTACAAACAAAGAATGATGTGAAATCAGTGTTATTATATTTAGCTCGCGAAAATGGCGTCGCTGCATATTGCCTATATTACGATTGTGTTACGACATAAATTAGCCTGATTTTCAGACGGGGCCTGGGTCCTACGCTTCACTCCACCCCCACTTCCCGTCTGATGGGCTTCACTGGATACCGTGTTCTCGATTGTTCGATTTAAGCCAATCACAAAACACCTTAGCTTTTTCGCAAAGTAAGGAATGTGTGGAATGCAAAACAAAATGGCGAACGACATAGATGGATGTATTTCAAAGTGTAGCGAAGTTTTCAACATTTCTGAGCTCTTTCCTGAGCAAAAGAAGGCCTTGAAATGTTTTGTTGGAGGAGAGGATGTTTTTCWAAGTCTCCCAACAGGATTTGGMAAATCATTAGTGTATCAGATGGTTCCTCTAGTTCATTCAGAGCTTTCGAAGTTCGATGAAAATTTCACAAGTCGACCCATCGAGATTGTAATTTCACCTCTACAAAGCCTGATGCAAGACCAGATCAACTTCTTAAAGAAGTTTGGTATAAGTGCCGCTGCTATTGGGGACGAAAAAAAGGTCAACGACCAAATTCTTAAAGGTGATTTTTCCTTGGTGTTCGCCTCGCCGGAATCACTRCTTGGAAATCCAAAATGGCGAAACATGCTTTTGACTCCGCGATATCAAGAGTCTCTCGTCGGGATTGTTGTTGATGAAGCTCATTGCATCAGTCAATGGWTAGTACTCACTTCTGTTCAATATTTTCCGTTCAAAGCCGTAGACGCTGCTTAAAATCTTTATTTTTAAAGTATTATAGAAAATAATCGAGTCGATTTCGACATGTACCGTTGTAGTAACCGGTTCGAAATTCAGGCCGTGTTGTAATTAATGAGACTATCGTATCCGTATATTCTCATCACTGTTTCCCAGTCATGCAAAATCGACTCTTTGAGATTTGAGCTACTGAATATTTTCGTAGTTTTGAAGAAAACAATGACTAAAAAAGCAATTGCAGTATCTTTATACATGTAACTTCACTTATCAGAGTAACCTATGTGTGTTAGACATATTATTTTAAAGAAAGTGACTCGTTCAATTATAGAATGT